AAGATGGGTGGTGTGAGATAGGTGGTGTAAGATAGGTGGTGTAAGATGAGTGGTGTAAGATGAGTGGTGTAAAATGAGCGGTGTAAGATGGGTGGTGTGAGATGAGTAAGATGAGTGGAGGCGGCGCCGGAGGCGGCGAGCGCCGAGGCAGCGGCGGGCGCACAGCGAAAAACTAGAACCCCACATAGTGATGTGGGGCAAGCAGTTATAATATCAACTAAATTTTTGAACCGGATGTTATAATATCAAATAAATTATAGAACCGGATAACCCCACATGTTAACAACAACTTCACCAGACACAGGAGCGGACAATTGGTGGTTGGTGGTTGGCGGCGATACAGCGACCCGAGGGCGTACATCCAACCCCTTGCAGAGCACCAAGTCCCGCGCCTGCCACGCAAAAGCCACCGGCACAGCGGCGGAGACCAAGGGACGCCAGGGTTGCAACCAGAGCACCAAGTCCCGTGTCTGCCACACAAAAGGAATGCCGGCCACACCTTCTGTAAAATAGGGCTTGAATGTGGCCTTTCATGTCTATATATGTTGAAGAATCTTTGGGGTGGGCTCCCAGTGATACTTCATCCATGATGTGCTCGAGCAGATGCAATTTCGGTGTTGCCCTCCATGTGAGAGCGGCATCTTCATCTTTGTACATGGTTTCGCTTTCCAGAGCCAAGTATTGCACTTACCACAGAACCTGGCCACATTGCAAACAGCCTTCTGGTGGTTGGAGCCTTTATCCGGCTTTGGTTGCGGGCAAGCTTTTCTAGGACATGTGTGCAGAAATGCCTAACACCAGCAGCCTTGCCATCCAATTCAGAAGGCTTTTTGGGTTTCTTAATGCCACTGTGCCTGAATTTGGGCAATCTCACATCACTGGACACATGCTCTGCATATAAATTTTGTGACATCACACCAGAGACTGTCCAGCCTTTCATCTTTGGTTTTGCCTTTGCAAGCAGGCATGATGCTGCCATAGCAGCACAGCCTTCATCCATGACATGCAACCTGCATGGCTGCATTGATGATGCCGTGCATAGGACGCTGCATCTCTTTCCGCTACTGCGGTTTCTCGCGGCGTTTCTTCCAGATTTTCCACCTCCGACGCAGCTGCCGCGACCTCTCCACAAGTCCTCGGATGGCACCTTTGTGTACGCTTCTGAACTTCTGATGCCCGGCAGGTGGCTGCTGGCGCACCCTCCACGAGCGAAAGCACGTGTCTCCACTCGCCATCAACCTGTCCGCCTACCATGCCTGCAAACCGTGCAAGCTTCCAGGTGGCTGCTGGTACACACCACGCGACGCAAAACATTGCGCGGCAGAAGAAGAGACCATGTCCTCCTCCTTCGCCACACACCGCGGAAACCTATACCTGCAAAGGATGCATCGCTTGCGAGCGTTTACTGGGGATCCTGGGGCTGGCGGCGATTGCTTCTTCCTTTCGGTTGCAGCCGCATTGCAAGTTTGGCGGAGTCAAGTTTGCGCACTACCGCCCAAGCTCGAAGTGCTCTTTCACCCGGACGCTCCGCGTCCCTTTGTGGCACAACGTCTGCGCGCAATCGTTGCCACGACTATTGCACAGTGGGGCGCGCCTCGCTTCCTGGACTATGTGACGACACGCTGCGCCGATGAATTGGAACCTGGTTCGATCCATGGAAGATTTCCACCCTGTTGAGAGGAACTTCCTTTGAGTTTTTACAAACGGTCAATGTGGTCTCCAGGAACCCTCAGGTGCGGCGCTGGCGCGTTGCAAACACGGAGGCAACCCACTTCTTCAGTCACACACGCTCCCACCTGGCGCTGCTCGCACCTTGCAGAACATCCAAACAGCCGTTGCAATGAACTTTGAAAAACAAATAATCATTGGGCCATTACACATCCTTTCTCAAGAACTACGTGTGCGCTTTTGCGCGGTGGGAAACGAGCCCATTGCTCTCTCCGACGCTGCGCACGCAGGGATATCTGATGTCTTGCATTCTTACGCGAGTGGAGGTACCGCTGGCTCCGCCTGTATTTCCCATATCTTTGAACAGCACTTTCAGACGCTCTTCTTTGAGATGGAAACTGGTTTCGCAAGTTGTTTTGCTTGGGAAGAAGTCCGCGCATCCTTGGCAGAAGCCTTGCTCTCCCATTTGCCTTCCGTTTGATGGTTGCCTTGCCCCCCAAGAGCACACGTGCACCTCTACCTCTGCATATCTTATTTATTTCCAGCTAGGTATGGCTCAGTCCTCCTTCCGGAATGTAGTGCCAGAGTATCCAGCAAGGGTTATTGCCATGCATGTTCTCTGACGACAGCAGCGACAGACACCCCTGCTGATGGACATCCCTTCGAATTCTGGGCGGCTCAGTCCCCAGCGGCTGGACGGAGCGTTTCCCTTCGATGTCTGCTAGCTATCCACTTTCGAGTGTTGCTGCGTCGCAAAAACGAAAAAATACTCGGAAGTAATCCCTACATGACTATACCATACTTGAAAAGCGAGGTGTCTTGCTTGCATTGGTATGCAATTTCCAATTAACTTTTAAGGAAATTTCCTTGCATTCAGGAGTTAACTAATAGCATTCAGAAGTTAGAGTTTTTTTTGGAAACTTGGCCGGGACAAGAGAACAGAGAAAAAAGCCTGGCCGCTTGCTCACGATCTTTTTCTGGCCCCAGCTCAGAAGTCAGTTTGCCAAAGGTTGGCAGAAGAGTAAAGAAGCTGTCTCTCAATGGAGCAGCTACACAAGTCTCACCACACAGTTTGGGCTCAGCTTCAATTCATGCCGCAAAAAATAGAGGGGTTTTCCTCAGATTTGGATCAAAGACCCTTGAAAAATACTTCATTCAAGAATACTCAGGTTAAAGAATACTCAGGTTTGATTCACTTACGACTAATTTTTGTTCGAGTCTCTGGGCGAGATCTCCTCGGCGCGGCTTTGCCGTTGAAAGTCATGTGAGAATATCATAAGATTCATTCGGATTCATTTGATTCATTGACATACGAAACCCTCCATACATTCTTTTGAAAGTCATGATGAGAATTGTGAGTCTATATGATTCCAAGATTCATTTGATTCCTTGACATACGAAACCCTCCATACCTTCTCCAAAGCTCTGCTTGCGTCCAACTCCTGGGATGGTATGGAAGAAGAGAAGACTGGCTGGGAAGGACTGGGCGTTTTTCATGTGACATGCATTTTTTACAGAGAGTCATTGACGGTAAACGCTGATGCAACGTTCGTGAACTTGTAGGTCGACACGGTATTGTATTGGAAGTGCTGACAATTCGTCTTGGGCTTGATGATGTATGGAGCAAGTCCTGACATCTCATAGTTTGTGACCCAGCGAGCCTGTGAATTAAAAGAACTTGAACCCAGAATAAAATCAAATCCTGGCCTGAAGCACTGTCAACAGGGGCCTTGATCTCATGGGAGTTCACTGTTGTATCGGCTATGCCTGAGTCTTCTAGCTCCCTCAAGAATTGGCGCAATGTGCACCTGTCGGCATCAGAGGTCCCACGGGCCCCCTCTTCAGACACCTCAAGAACGATGTCCGTCAAATCACTTGTCCATGCCACAGCGCATGTGCGGCTCAGCTGGCCTGGCAAAATGAAAGATCGGAAGGTATCTTTTGAATCAGAGGGTTTTGCTGTGTTCGGCTTTGCTGCACACAACATTAC